TTTGGGATTGGGGTTTGGGACGAATTTTACTATGTTTGGTGGAATTAGGATTTGGGACAATTTTATTATGTTTGGGATTTGGGGGATCATCAAAATTATATAATTTGATTGGCCAGATACCACGTGATTCTGCTCCACTTTAGACGACCCCCTAATTACATCAAAAAAAACATCAAAAAACTAACCCTAACCGAACCACGAATCGTTTCTGCACATGACTTATTAGCCCGTGTTTTTCGTGTTCCTAATATTATTACAAATAATAATTGATATTCTTTCGTTACGCGATTTCTCGTACCTACGGTGGTTGAAGTTAACATTGTTGGCTAAATAAATCCATTTTTATTTACGTTTCATGAATGTATGAGCTAGGTGTATAAATTTATGAGATGTCTGAAAATAAAGGCAGGAAGTGTGAGGAAGAAAGGGATAGTTTTAAGGGGAGGAGAGAGATAAAAAGCGAATTCGAGACTACAAAAAGGCAAATTAATGTAGAGGAAAATGGACAAAATGATAATGAATATGAAGTTGAGGCTATAATTAATTGGAAAAAGGAGAACGGAAAAGATTATTATATGATAAAATGGCTAGGTGTGATGTGTTCTTACTTGTGGCTGTTTCTTAAGCTGATAAGACTAATAGAAATGAAATGATATTATTTAGGTTATGACGAAAGACACAATACATGGGAACCAATAGAAAATTTAAAAAATTGTACAGAGTTATTGCGTCAATTTAGAAAATCTAGAGCAACAAAAAGAGTGACTATGTCTGATGATGATGAATATAAAGATTCAGTACCTGAAGAAAAACCAGTATGTTATTTTTGTATTTCATATATTATATTTTTTTATTTAGACTCAGTGAATTAACATACCTATCAGTATATTCGGCGAGAAATAATCACGAAGGGAAACGAATCAAGTACACATAATCGTGCTTCTGGCTCAAAAAAGTGGATGGGCGTTGTATCTGGTATTATCTTATTGGTTATTCGTATGCTTGAGATGTGGTCTTTCTGATGTGCTGTTATTTATTATACTAAAAGGGATAGACCAAAAACGCGTCGATAAGATTTTCAAAGATGAAGTGGATGACGATAGGAAAAATGACGTTTTTAGTAGACCCGTCGAATTCTCTACACAAGATGAATGTGGAGAATCGCCCAATAAAACTAAGAATAATAGAGATCATAGATTACTAGCTGCAATAAAGTATAAAAAAAATCGTGTTGCCAGTTCATCAAAAGTGGAAAATGACGAACCTAGACGTAGCAATTACGTTAGTTTATCATCCGGCCCGAACAATGACGTATTTAATAGTTCATTGGTAACAGATCTCAAAAAAGAGAATCTTGAAGCCTCGTCTATCAGTTCTTCATCCGGGAATGCTCCGAAAATTTCAAAAAGACGGCCAAGGTTGTCAATGGATCGGGAAATATTACCTCCCCCGTGGTCACTGGCTTCCTCTTTTGAACCACTTTCAAGGTATTATTATTAGAGTTATTAATTTTATTTTTTTT